GAAACTTTTGTAGCCATAGTATTAAAATAGATTTTAAATCCCCTATTTAAACCCTGTTTTGAGCTCAAACTACGTTAAAAACAGAGTGAAAATCATTCCCAGGTCATGAAATAGGTTCTAACTATACTTGAAATACATTACAAACAAGAAGCAAAATTTTGAATTTTGTACAAAATAGCACAAAAATACCCTATAGTGACTTTAAAATACTCTTTAAATCATCAAAATACATTCAAAACAGTTTAAAATCAGTTTAAAAATACAGCTGGTTTGGTAAGGATAAGTTATTCAAAATATTTCCGGGAAAAAGTTCGTAAATCTGTCCGCCATTTTTTTCAACCCGACCGATGCTTGTGTGAGCATTATATATATATAGCTCCCTACTTTGTACTCTCATAAATTGTTTTTTTTTTTAATATTGAACCCGCTAGCTATTCGTATAAGAATGCAATAATGAATTGATTATTTAAATACTGAGCCCGCTTTTCGTTTCAAGAATGCAATAATGAATTGATGTTTTAAATAATAAACCGGCTAGTCGTTTCACTAAGTACAATTTTAAATTGAACATTTGAATATTGAACCCGTTAGCCGTAAATTCTTGAAACAACTAGCGAGTTCAATATTCAAATAATAAATCCATAATTGCATTCTTGGAACGACTAGCGCGTTCAATATTCAAATAATCAATTCAGTATTGCACTCTTGGACCGACTAGCGAGTTCAATATTCAAATAATCAATTCAGTATTGCACTCTTGGATCGACTAGCGAGTTCAATATTCAAAAAACAATCAATTACTTTGCGATAAAAAACACAGTTTTAAGTTTGCAAATAAACATGTTTCGGATAACCACCATCCATCTTCAGTTGTAAATACAAATAAACCGCTAGTCGGTCTGATATATAAGCGAACTTACATAGAATATGTGACTACTAAATAACAACATGAATATGAAGCACCAGAAAATACAATGGTACGTTTCTCTCCTTCAATTTGAAGGTAATTTTATACGTGGTCAAAAAAAAAATAAAAATACCTCTCGTCGAGCGCAGTTGTTCCACATTCTTCACCCTTGTTTTTCACGATGTCTGAACGTTGCTGCCAATCTTTATGCAACTCTTGCTCTTCTCTCTTTGGACTGTAAAGTAATGAAAGGAAGAAAAAACATGAGTCCTACTGAGTTCTTATTACCAAAGCCAAAATCAGAATTTTGCAAAAGGTCAGCTGCGAGTTCCAGTAGCTTCCAATCATTGATCCCCTAGATCCTGTAAAACGTCCATCTGATTGATTGTACATGTACCTCTAGATCTTTAAATTTACTAATCAAGATATCATGTCGTCTCCTGTACTCATTTATGTTCCTTTATCAACTGTCAATTTCGTTGATAACTGTAAACTCATATTGCCCACTAAGCTGTTTGCATTTTCACTTGGTGATTGTGATGGCCAACCTCACTCGAGATGGAAATAGAATGAAGCCTAGTTTGGTTTGTAGAGACGAAAGGAAGCGAATTGCATGGAGAACTCGAAGGTAGAAAGCTCTTAGAACAAAATTTTGACGACCTCAACCGATTTGTGTCGACGGATTTCACTCATTGGAGACACTACCGAAGTTCGAATTAAGTCTCAATTAGACTACGAGACATCCCTTTCTTTTACTGTGAACATGAATATCCTCCGAAAACTGGGAAGCGAGTGGTAAACCTGAGAGAATAATGCTAGAATTCCCCATTGTTAGCTTAACTATTTTATAATACGCTACAGCTGCTGTAGCCCTTCGCCAGCCTCCTCGAAGAAAACAACGTATCACTCGAACCCCACCAAGAACATTATAGATACAATCTTAAACAAACCTGTCTCGCCTTTGTAATTCTTGTAACATTTCTTTTCCCCTCTTGATAACCTTTCTCAGTTCTTTCTCTAAATTTTGTGGCTTTCTCTTATGCTTCTCATATGTTTCGGTTAGGAAATCGAAGAACTCTTTAAATGTTCCTTCGCGTTGCATTTCTCTGTTTGTACTTAATCACTCTGAGCTCACACAGTATAACTCGTGTGAAACAGCCTCCGAACACTCTTAGCGTACTCGTGGAGCGAGGGAAACTCTGACAGTACCAGTTTCGGTCTATTCCTGAAAGATACACAATTTTTTTCCGCAAGAATATTAGGACGCAAATCATGTTGAAATGTAAATAAATAATATGTTTCTACTCTACTCTTCTGTTCTCAGAAAAGCAGGATGCGAAACGCATGTTTTAACATATCATCAAGTTGATCTTAAGGATCCAGCCAACTAAAAAGTAATACTGTAGCTAAGCACATTGCGGTAAATTACTTAACTCGACAAAATGTGCGGGTTTAGCACAACCACTCTACTTTTACACCAAGAGTATCATTATTACACTGGGTGGAGTATTTCACGATCGTTCGCCATTGTTAGATTCCGAGAAAGACAGGATGTTTGTGCAATTCGACTATCCAATTGTCTTCGAGAATGTTCTGTTGTTCAGAAGTGTTGCGCATATGCAGCAAATCTATAGTGAACGCCTTGCCAACCTGAGCGCTCGCTTCGCAGGAAGAGTTTTGATACTAGTAAGGAACTGAAAGCTCACTTACAAAGCCAAAGGTAAGCTTGTTATTTGGTAACATTATCACACAATATAGTAAACGAGGCAAACAAAACGATAGATGTTTTCGTAATAAAGGGAACTTTCAATGAAGATCATCTTGGACTTTGACCGACCTTGCATCGAACAAAAGTCTGTAATTATAACGTAAACTTGCTTTCAGGGCTAACTTTACTAACTTTAGGACATATTTCAGTTCACAATTCAATATCAGCGTCATCGCAAATTTTATATAGGAGAGAGCAGTGACGTTATGAAACGCCTGACTCAGTGGCAGTGCCAAAAATAAAACGTTTGATGGAAGGTGGTTGATGAAGCAATTGCCGTAAACTAAACATGGTATAGTATTTTTTCACAAACGTCGTTTGGGACTAGTGAAAAGCGTTCGAACTTACCTTTCTGGTTAGCATTCTCTCGTTGCCCTATCGTTGAAAAGCGACCAAGCGAAATGTACTTGTTTGCAATTCAGGAAAATTAAAGGAGAACGGAAGGCTACAGGGTATAATTTTTGAAATGATCTGAAATTGTAGAAAGAACGTAAATTACAAAGAATCGATTGAAAAAAGTTCGTATTTCAGTGCAAATCAAATAGAAAACTAAGAGAACTCGCCAGAATTGAACATCCGCCATTTTGTTAGCATTCTCTTCCGGTTACTTCCAAATAAGGATTACCGTCCGCCATCTCGTGACGTCAAAGCGCTCATGCTTTCTTTCCTACTTTGCGTGCTCGCCTCCGCGTGCTATGTTTTGGTGTTCTCGCCCTTCATTAGTCGTGATTAGTCGCGGATTTTCGCAGCTATATTGTGTATAGTTTGGGACAACAGAACGCTTGATAATACAGNCGCTGTATAAGTCGTCATCCTGATTTCGAAACTGTATGTTTGCGAAGAGAAGTGTTGGAGACGGCCATTGATGGTTTGGGTCAGGCGCGTGGCATACGAGAACTTGCTAATGTGTACGTACCACATCTATAACATTGTAAATCGTTTTGCTCTTTTGCTGGGATGATGTAGATTAGATCAATTAGCCACAGGCACCCTGTATGTCACAAATTCTGTAAAGGATGTTAAAACGTTTAATTCTCATTATAATTCCATAGTAATTACGTTAATTAATCCCGTTCAGAGCCTAAAATTTTTTCAGGTCATTTTTCCAGTAATGTCATGGCTGCATTCGCATCCTTTATTCTCTCATTATAATATAAAATTCAGTTTGAGATACTTGATTAGCCCTATTAAAATTTCAACACAGTTTTGAAAGATATAAGTAGCCAAACTACACGAATCTTTTTAGTAACTTTAGACTTAGTCAAAGAATTATTCGTTCAGTGAACTCAGTCGACCACATTTACACACATGGCCATTGCCTAAATTTCTTGTAGGTTCTGCGAAATGAAATTAATAAATAGAAGCGACTGACATTTCTGTGTAGCTACACCCCGATCAGCGGGTGATAGCAAATTGTCACGGCAACTGCACTGACCTTTCAGCCTTCCTTTCCATCATAATTTGAGCAAAGTTGAAAAGATTTTGCAAAACACGTTTCATTCGTAAGTTTTCTTTTATCAGGAGTTATCGTTACGCAGCTTATCGCCAGTTTACTTGGTGGGTGCTTGACAGACTGGGGAGATACGCGAGAAAAGTAATCCCTGCTTGTGTAGTGAAAGCAATACGAGCCGTGTATCCAAACGCAGATGGGAATTACACAGGCTTTCGCAACCCTGATGAAAGTTACTCAGAAGTGGAATTATCCTGGATACAGGAGATTGTTAGAAATTAATATAAATCATTCAGTTAGTTTCCTGTATTAAAACGAGATCTGTGCGTCTCCAGCAAGTCGTTCTTGGGTGGTCTTGGGGTTGAAGCGATGTTCGCGGCTGCGTGTTTGGGAGGTAGCGGGGGAACGTCAATGTCAACTTTCTTGAATGCAAGGAGAGAAACCATTTTAACGCGTACGAGTTTTGCTCGTATTGCGGCTTTGCAATCCACTCAACACTTCCCTTGGGGGAGACAAATTTGTGTTTCTTTGCACCCTCTTTGGTTTGGCCTTGGCTCCTTCCCACATTGTGGTTGTGGTCAAGAACAGCTAACAGGGTGCGAGCCCTCATGCCATCATATGAGTAGTGCTGCACTTTTTGGCAGTACTTCTTTGCCATGAGGCCATGGTACATTTCTAAAATGCCAGTGTGGATAAACTCGGCTAGCATGCCGATGTCCTTTAGAAGCGACTTGTTCAAGGCCACCTCCTTCAGGGCATCATGAGCAGGGCTTCCAACCTTTAACCAGTCTTTCCTTCTCTCTGTTTCTCTTGGGATGGGTGGGTGTGCACACTGGTGGAAATGCTGAAATCCGTCCCAGTGGTGGATATTAGCCTGTGGTAAACGATGGATTTCCATCGTTCCACACAGTCGGCAGCATTGCCCTGCGAGATTTTTGCACACCACCAGGGGTGAGTTATGATGGAGTGTATCCAGGGTTTCAATGCTGCACATGGCTTTGATTGAGCCTTTTTGGATAG